TTATAATATATAGACAATAATGTTATTACTATATGCATGCTTAGAATAATTATTTACTTGGAGTTTCTCCAATTTTTCAAATAAATGTGCACATAAAAATTCCTAAAATTTTTTTATATATCATTTTATTTTTAGTGCTTTCTCTTGCAAGAAATATTGATTCTTCCTCGCAAAGATGTATCATTTATCTTTTTTCCTTGCCGTCTTAAATGTAGTTTTATTACATACATAGTAAAAGAGAGAAAGAGAGATAGAAGGATAATGACATAGAGATATTTTTCACTCTCGGTTTTGATAACATTTCAAAAACCAAATAACGGATTTGATCTTATCGTTAACATTATAAAATATACACAATTTTAATCTACTTGAGGAAATATCAGAACGTGTCACTGACTTCATAATAATAATAATGCATAATCAGTGTTCATTGGAAATGTGAGACACGCAGTACACTTAATAAATAATGTGTGCATATTATTTTGATACCAGAAAATGAATGAGTATATGCACGTAAAAATGAAAGCTAAAATGATCGAAAATCATTGTATTGATTTTACATTGTACTGATTGTACTGATTTTCAAGTTAAAGTAACGAGTTTATACTGGTCACTCTTCGTTCAATAAATAATCATTCGTTTATTAAGAAACGAATGAAAATGATCACAAAAAATAAAAAATACATGTATAAATTAAAAAAATGTAACAAGTTTTATATTTAATTGACGTTACTGCCGTAAAAAATCATTTAAAGTGTTAAAAAAAAATTCACTTCGTGACCATTATATACCCGACAAAAAGCAAAAAGCTACAAACGTAAATTAAATATTATACGTTAACAGGTACTTATACTGCGTATAGTAGTAATAATAGAAATATGATATAAGCGATGTACCGTAAAGAGTGCAAAAGAAATCTTTACAATTCTTTATATCGTGAACGGTACATCGCACATACCACAATTAATGTAAAATGCTAGAAATCTCTCGCGTCGGATCACAATAAGGATAATACCACATATTAAAAAAAGTTACACTTCTAAAATCAATAAAAGTGACTGTGGATGAGACAAATCCAACTAAAAAAAGGAACAAAATTGACAGTGCTGTAAGTATATAGAAATTCAACACCCTGTCCATGTTTCTCTATAAGCAAGATAAGAGAGAATCTAAGTGAAAGCTTTAATTCGAAATCAGATGCCTCCAAGGGGGTGGATCAGGGGGTGGAGGCAAAGGGACTGGTTACGGCCGGCAATGACCCCTTTTTCTACCACCTTCGTTCCCGTCTTCCTCTTCACCACCTCGTCGCACTTCGGTATAGCGTTCGCCCTTTACACTAACGATCTTGTTGTCTAGGTAACGCACTAATTTTTTTGGTTCCGTCTTCGGAGCGACCGGACGATGCTCGCGCGAATCATCGTCCCTATCGACGTAACTATACCGCGCGATAATACGCGACTTCAGTTCCTCGTCGTTTACTCTGGCCTTGTTACGACCGTTCGGCTGCGCAAGATAATTACGCTATTTTATGTCGTTTAACTCATAATCATTAGTTAACTGATTCTCTACTATGAAAATTGTACGTGCACGTGTATGCATGTTAATACTCTTGAATTGACTGTACGTAGACAAAACGTGAGTGGATTAATATTATAAATAATGATTTTGCAATACTGAGTGGGAGGTAAATTTTGAGAGAAACGTATATCATAGATTGATACTTACAGTTAAAAATGTAAGATTACTAACGATACTCTGTCCTGCTTCCTGTCTATGGAGAGCAAGTTGTGCTGCCTTTGCTAAATCACCTCCAGCTACTGCCAAGCAATGTCTAGCTTCTGCTGGACTCGCAGCTGGAAACATCTCTTGCAGTAATGCTACTTGATTCCACGATGATTCCTGAAGAGGAAAGAACAATGATATTTTAAAATTTACTTAATTTATTGAACAACGAAGACGATATGTATATCTGTTAGACTTACTTCTGAGAAATATTCTCCACTGGAATCGCTTCCAGCATCACTTGTTTCTGAGAGATGATGGACTCTCATTCTCTGATTACTCTGAGGTAACAGAGCTGATAAGCTAAGGTGACTCAAAGGATCTTGAGGTTGGCAATTTTCATTTTCTTTAGTCTCTTGCCGTAATTTACTTTCTACATCCAACAGCCATTTGGACACTGCTTCTTTTTTGATAGTAGAAAATTCAGGAAGACAAGCAGATACCATTTCACATAATTCATCTACATCCAAGTCTTCCTCAAGTGCACTTCTTTCTACCATACTAACCACATAGCTCAAGACGATATCATCTATTAAACTAGAAAAGAAAATCTTTATAAATAACACATTTTTAAATTCAGGAAAACATTCGCATTTCTTCTGTCAATTGTTACCTTAATTGGGCAGTGGGTACTTCCTTTCTGACGAAACTAAATAAGGACTTCTTGACCAATTCTTCCTTCTCATCCATTGTACGATTCATCCTAGAAAAATTATAATAAATCTTGACTATGTTAAAATAATTTATCATTAGGATATTTGCAGAACTGAATGTCTTATTTATATACTTAATAGAGTCTAAATTTATTCTTATGCATTAAATAGTTAATGAATGTAATGTTGCATAAAAATTGAGATTAAACACGTTTCATTCAACAATTAGTTTGAAACAATGCAACAATTGTTCTCATAGAACACTAACAATGATATCACGAAATGTCACGAGTACCAAAAACAAGATCGTCTTTTAAATAAAAATGTTTCATGCCTTAGAAATATATAATTCAAGAAGACCTACTTTAAGCAAATGTGAACAGTACATATTTTTCTATCAGAAATATACGTCGAACAAAACTGTGACAGTGTTCTGAACGAGGATTCACAAGTTAAAAGGTTTTAATACAAGTATCCACAACTAGGCTGGATTACCAATTACACTTTAGAATAATTATATCCTGGATAAATGAACTGTATTCCCATCTTAATTTTATTTCAAAGAACTATATCTCCGAAAACTGATCGTGCGATTATGTATTCCTTCCAGTTAGGTTAAGAGAAATAGGGTAAAACCGACATGGCATAGTCTAAAACGAATTCTGCATACAATGAGAAATTTTCGTCTCGGTGCCTATTTCATGCAAGACGAGAGAGCATTAGTTTCGTCTTTTGATGCGGTGACAAGAGAAAATATGAAATAAAAATGAAGGCCGAGGAAAATGGTAAAGAGACAAGGAAAAATTGACAGAAATGTAGAAGCAGCGCCGGTTACATCGAGCTGGTACAGCATTTCCGTTCGTTTGTGAGGTTCATATGGGCCCGTGAAAGAACAATGGTACAATTCCATTGTAGAAGTAGACACGGGTGAGTACGAACCTGATCTTGTTCACTTGTTCAAAATCCCCGGATCGTACTTTGTGTGGCTGCGAACTGATAAAACTTTCGTATACAAACAACGTTTCTCGATTTGACAGTTCTGCAAGAGAAGGGGTGCTGGTATCGTAGCGCCATCGCGGTCTACAACCTACTTTGGGACCAAATCAGCAATTCGGCTATTATAATTTCGATAACATAAGAAACAAAACAGAGTATCATTTTATTAGATTGTGTAAGGTAATTTTTAGTCTGTATCTAATGAAGAGAGAAAACACATCTTTCATACAGGCAACATTAACAACATTTTGCTATAAAAGCTCGATTTATATCGGAGTTCTGGATGTTTGATATCGATATTATACCCCTGAAATTGTATACATATACATACATGTCTATATAATGTATGATGTAAATAATAAATAATTTGTACCTGTTTGTACCTAACGAAAATCATAAGTTATGAATTCATCATAATGATTACCAACGATTATGAATCTATTATTAAGTTACATCAAGAGATGATATTAATTTCTGAAAGACCGTTTATATGGCGAGGATTTTTGAAAGTTCCAATCAATCCTGAAGGAAATATTCGAATTAAACTAAAACTGGTTGCACCTAGTTATCCGTCGTTACACGATGCAGAAATCGAATTTGGCAAAGAAATCACATTTTTCCGTGGTACAGAGTTTAATGAAACGGTGAAAGATTTGAAGTGCAACACAAATAAAGTATCAACATTCTTGAGTTATTTACAGTTAATAATTGTGAGTAACTTTTATAATTCTCTTCTGCCTTAAAGATAGCTAGTTTAC